CAGGTCCAAACTGTTTAATTAACAAGAACCTGCTGTCTCGAAGCAGTACAAACGCACCTTTGGACGCGCCGCCGGCACAACTGAACGAGCCCCGTGCCGCCCATCAAGGCTGCTGCCACCTGCCTGCTGCTACTGCTCTCAAGTGGAGAGGTGAACGCGTCACCCCGTCAGCGACCATGAACTTTCCCCAAAGGCATTCTCGTAAGCCCCAAAACCATTCTGCCGCGTGTCAACTTCAGCAAGTCGTGCCTTTAACATTTTAGAATTATACCGAGTACGTGTACTTCAGTAAAACCTCACCGCTTTATGTCAGTAAGTTGGAAGCCAATCCAAATCATAAAATACCCCGAGAAAGAGTGATTTTCTTCCCTGTCTCACGTGCATGTTTAATAAACATGTCTAGCTTTCTCCTCCCTCCTGCCCCAGGAGACCATAATGCCCAGCGCATGGTCAGCACAGGACAGCATGTGTTAAATTGAACTAAACAAAATGCTCTCTAGCGGTGCTCTGTTCAACAGCTTTAAGTACAAGTACTTGTTATTCTTCCAGTATTGTTTAAAAAGTCAAATGGGGCTGGCATGGTGGCTCATGCCTACAATCCCAGCACTCTGGGAGGCTGAGGTGGGAGAATTGCTTGAGGCCAAGAGTTCAAGATGAGCCTGGGAAACATACTGAGAACCCCATCTCTACAAAAATACGTATTTTTTTTGTAGAGACATGGTGTATGCCCGTAGTCTCAGCTACTTGGAAAGCTGAGGCAGGAGGATCACTTCAAGCCCAGGAGTTTGAGGCTGCAGTGAGCTGTTATGATGCCACTGTATTCCAGCTGGGTGACAGAACAAGACCCTACCTCTAAAAATAAAATGAAATAAAATAAGTTAAATGGACAGTTCTAGGAAGCTTAAAAAGATTATTCCCTTGGTGTCGTCAGTATTTCCACAGCCGTCTTTGAAGATCTGTTGATTGGTAATACACTGTTGAAAGGACTGCTCAGTGAAGCTCAGCTCTGCTTCCTCCCACATCACCACAAAACCTGACTTAGCAAAATCATCATGACAATGTCAGGCAGGAACCCGGATCGCAAGATAAATGGCTCTGTCCTGTCCGGGAGTGAAGAGGTGATCCCTCTGGTCCCCTACCTTCAGTCTGGCCTCCACGGAGGCCTTCTTCCGTGCCTCTCTTCTGCGATACTGCTCCACTTTGTCCAGCTGGTCCGGGCGCTGAAGCATCCCAGCAACCCGCTGGACTGCAGTCGCAACAGCCTCACGGTCTGTCTCCTTCATGGTCAAAAAGCAGGTGCAATCTCCGTGCCTGTCATGCTAGAGACATTCTGTGTGCATGGGAGGGAGAGGGTTTTAGGGAGGCGGAAGTATTAGGCGCAAACACCCCCCGACAGTCAGTTGATCGTAACGGAGCTGCGAGAGTGTTTGAGAAGGTCACGAATCCAGTACACCCGAAAGAAAGCCGAGCTAGGACTAGGAACTCCTTAACGGGATACACAAACCTTCGGAACTCAAATGTGGGGAGGAGCAGGGGCGTTTCACAGGCCTGAGAGAGACGAACACATGGAGGACGCCCCAGACCACTCGCCACCTCAGAAGTGACTCTCTAAGGCACTTCCCTCCTCTAGACAGGGCCAACTTCTCACTTCCGGAGCCTTCCCTCAACCCTCGGCCACGCCTGTGGGCACCAAACCAGCACCCTCAGCGAGGACAGGACACACGGCACCGCATGTCTCCCCTCTCCCAGCACCAGTCCTGTGACTCCCAGCAAAAATCCCTCCTGTCCTGGGTACACAAAATTGCATTTCCTACTTTTTTAACAGCCCTAGAAAACAAGGTGTATGTCTTCCTTTTCTCACGTACTGCTCACAGAACACAGACGCTCGGACACCAGGCAACGTGCCTTCAATTCTAGCGCCACCATCAACCCAGGCGTGGGCTGAAGCGGCTACCTGGTGAGCACTTGGCAAACGGGGGCACTGCAAAAACGTGCTTTCCCTTTGACGATGCGATTTCCGTTTTCATGGCTATAAAAAGACCCCTCTTCTCCCAGAATTTTTGATTTATCCCATCCCCACATGCTTTCAGAAAAACACTGAAAACCCCTGGTGGATTTCTGCAAAACAGTCCCCGTCTGTGCAAGATCTCTCTTTCCAATGGAGCTGTACTGCAACCACTACCGTTCTCCTTGTTCCTATGATTATAAAATCACGCACACGAATGCAGAGTATCTGGGCAGGACAGAAACACACAGAGATGCCAGAGGCAACCACCCTCACATCCCACCATCCAGGGGCAACCACTTCTGACAGGGCCGTTTCCTCCCAGGTTTTTTCTCTTTCGTTTCGAGGTCGCACTGCCTGTGTGGCCTGTGCACGCTCTCATTTCTCGTTTGGCTTTGACGTGTCATCCTCAGCATTTCCACTGACACTGAAACCTGTATTTTGACTAACAGGCTGCATCATAGCCAAGACGTGGACATCCGAGCATTCTGCCAGCGCACCCAGCAAGGTCATCTGACCCACCCCAAGGCTGGAGGCCAGGGTCACGCTCCCGGACCATCCTTTCGGGTGGAAATGGGAGCTGCTAAGGCCGACGGCTCTCCTTGGAATCGGAGCAGAGGAATCTACTCCAACGAGGGGAAATGGAAAACCCGAAGTATGGAAAACAGGGAAGAGAGGTTTCCATCACAGCTGCCCGATTTCCGGCCACAGCAGCAGAAGGGGAACTCTGAGGCCA